TTTTTTTTTTTTTTTTCCTTTTTTTTTTTTGTATTTTTATTTTTTGGGGTGGGGTGTTGTTTATAGTTTTTTTTCTAACAAATGTCAAGAACATACACTATGAAACTATTTACAATATAAAAATCAAGAAACACAACAGTTGCAAGAACACAAAAACAGTTTTTTTTTTGTTTTTTCAAAACACATTTGACTAATCAGTCTTCCTAAAAGTCCTTGTATCGGAGTTATTTTCTCCATTGTCTGAAGGCTTCCTCTGTACGGATTGGAATGTCCTTTTCCATGCACGACTTCACATACATTTCAAACACCTTCTTTTCTGGGATTTTTCGATCCACATTTACCTCTGCGACTTCTTCAGGGGTCCATTTTTTGCGGGTACCGGCAGGTACAGTCTTTGCTTTCGATCGTAGCATTGGATGGAGCTCCTCTGTGTCATCCACCTGCTGGACATCCTCAAAGGGTTGTTCTTTTTTTCTTTCTTCCTGCTCAGGCCTTTTGACAACCATTGGGACTGTTTGTTTTTGGAGGATTCTGACAGGAATGTCTTTGTATAGCTTCCAACAGATGAATTTGTATACCTTGGGCAGTGTGAACCTTGACGAGATGCGCCATTTCTGGAGCATTGCCTGGGACACATTGGGACATATTTCCCAAAGAACCGCTTCCAGGTGGTTGAAGTCAACGTAATCACCATTCATCAACATACCAAGGCAGCTGACGAATGTGACTACATTGACTTGCAACTGGCCTTTGATGGTGGTGGGAAGCCGTTCCAAGACCTTCTCCATTCAAGGCATGCCATGGTCCCGATATTTTTCCAGGTGTCTGGAGTAGCTCAAACACCGACGCTCTATTTCCGTACATGCCTTGAGGGTTGCTGAAGCTACCTGGCCAAGTTTTGCCGGTTGCCCTTCTAACTCCAGGACCACATACTCCTTGCAGTTCCAGGTTAGACRGTGAGACCCACAGATATCCCGGAACTTCACAGCAGGAAAAAAAATGTAGATTTTCAGAAAGGAAACCTTGGACCAGGATTTCCTTCACATTTCTTCCTTTTTTGGTCAACAGCCCTCGAGCACGTCCAAATGTGAAGGGTGCTGGAAAGCTATTTTTGGTAGTAAGGTCTTCACAAAAGTCTTCAACTTTAAGGCTATCGCAAAGCCTGCCAGGTGGTTCTTCATCCTTCAAAACTGCGTACAGGATCTCCTCATTTCGCCGATTGAKGTCACACAACAGCAGTCGAAGTACAGTAGCCCCTGTAATTGCTGGTGCAGCTTCTAACACTTGCCACACTGGAAAAATGTGTTCAAGACGCATTCTTTGAGTGTTATCCCTTGTCTGGTGTTCTAAAGGTGGTGGCACGTCACCAGCATTGGCAGCAGAGTGTGGTGTAAACCCAATGTACTTATGTATATGGTTGGTCCTAAACCAAATCCCCAACCCACCAATGGCATTTAAACCAAATGGAGACTCGACTTTTGTCCACAAATGCACCAGTTGTCCCCAAAGGTAGGATTTTTGTCTTAAAATTGCCCCCAAATGTCACCAAAGCCGAACACAAACGCACACGTTTCTTTCTTGACCCCGTGGGGACCTTCCATTGACTTCCATTCATGTTTTTTAGCCTTTATATCCTAACCCTGACCATTTACCTTAAAATTAACCTCACAGGTACATACCTGACACTAAAACTAACCTAAACCTTGGTTCTAAACCCAACCCCACACCCGTAACATGCATTTGGACCCGTGGCTTTTTTTGGTAAAAAAAAAAAAATTCCCCACGTTGTAGGAAAAACCCGCACACACACACACACACACACACACACACACACACACACACACACACACACACACACACACACACACACACACACACACACACACACACACACACACACACACACACACACACACACAGGTTTATTCTTGAACCCTGTGGGGACCTTCCATTGACTTCCATTCTTTTTTTTTTGACATTATAGCCTAACCCTGACCATATACACCTGACCCTAAAACAAGCCTAAAACGTGGTCCTAAACCTAACCCCAACCCCACAGGCCTGCTTTTTTGGGAAAATTTTCCACACATTKTAGGAAAAACCTATCCACACACACACACCTACTATGTCTCTCTATCCTTGTATGGACTTTCCATTGACTTAAGTTCATTTTTTGGAAATTTTATAACCTAAACCTGATCACCAACCCTAAAATTAACCTCACAGGTACCGACATGACCCTAAAACTAACCTAAACTCAATTTGCACCTTGGTCCTAAACTTAACCCCCACCACCCACCACCCGAGCTTTGGTCCCCACGAGACTGCGTTTTCCTGAAACATCATCCCCACCAAGTAGCTAAAACAAGGTCACAGACACACACATGCGGGTGTTGTTTCTTTCTTTAAAAAGGAAAGTCATGTCACAAAAACGTTAATGTTTTTATTATTTTTTATATATAGTGAATCACAAAACATGCATCACGTCAGTCTTTTCTCTCTTGGGACACAAAGGTCTGGTTAACAAAATACAGAAAGCCTGAAGCCTAATGGTACGTTCACACGGAACGCGTTTTGAGCTGCAGGAGCAGCCAGTTTACATGCAAAGTCTATGGCGGACGCGCCTCTAGGGGTCTTGCGGTAAGTCAGGTCCATTTAGTGCGGCGCGCAAAGAAGCGAAAGGTGCGGCAGAGCATTTTCCATGCATGCGGTGCGGCGAAAGCAGCCGATGCCCGAGTTCAAAAATCTGACTTTTGCCGCTCGACGGGCCGCAGCAACCAATCAAGAGAGACTCATTTTTCCACGTGACGGTTTCCTGAATGTTGCACACAAACAGACGGACAGGAGCTCTTTGGATGAAATGGACCATCTACAGTTGGTGTTCTGACTGGAGATATCAGCACTGATGCAGGTCAGCAGCTTGTTAAACTGACCGCGGTGTTAAACTGGGCTCAGGACAAAAAATAGTTTGTCAGCTCGCAGCTCCTGGAGTGGTGAAACTAACCGAAGAAACCACCTCTAAATAATCTGGTGAATTAATTATCTGCTGTGTGCAACGTTCACTTGCTCTTTAGTAAATAAAACAGTCATTTTCTTTATGTCATCATTATTTCATCCACCGAAGACAGGCCGGAAAAAAAACAAGACGCTCCTCCCTCTTCAGACGCGTGTCTAGTCTCTGTCCCGGTCTGAACGTAGCGCTTCCAACTTGAGGCGTTGGGCGCATTTTTGCTGCTCAAAACATGTTCAGTGTGAACGTAGCATAAGTCTTTAAATATGACAGGGTGTTCACCTCAGACAAAAACTGGAAATTTGTTCCACAAGAGAGGAACCTAATAGCCGAATGCTTTTCTCCCATTTCAGAATAATCCATCTGTTATCTTAACTACTTCCTCCTTTCAGGGTCACAGGGCTCACTGGTGTCCATATCCAGCAGTCACAGTGAGGGGCGGGGTACACCCTGGACAGGTCTCCAGTCCATCACAGGGACACATAGAGACAAACGAGACAAACAACCATTCACTGTCTCACTCACACCTAGGGACAATTTAGAGTTATCAGTTAACCTAACAGTCATGTTTTTGGTCTGTGGGAGGAAACTGCAGTGCCCAGAAAAACCCACGCATCCAAAGAACATGCAAACTCTACCCAGAAAGGTCCGGGGCTGGGATTCGATTTTTCTTTGAAACACAAGGAAGAACTTAAAGACCGTGTAAAGTAAAATGTAACATTTTCTTTTTTAAACATTATAAATGTCATAAATGGATTGTTGTAAATGAGTACAAATACTCTCAACTGTAGATATTTGAATAGTGGAGATAAGATTCAATTTGTGTAACACGGTATCTGTGTTTCAGGATTTTTTGGGTGTGTCTTAAAGGGACAATCCATCCATCCATCCATCCATCCAT